AATTGGTAATGGCAGTGGCTGGCAATAGTTGTTCTTTCTTTTTAGCAATCATTGCGCAGGTTTTTCGAGGTTTGATTTGGCAGTGCATCCAAGCTTGGACAACACACCAGTTACTACATACACACATATTTGTGTGTAGACACAAATGTGTGAACATTTTTATATATACGTAGTTAAATGTTTTTATCTTTCTTTGGCAAGTTTTTTGTGAAAAACTTCAAATTGCATTGAAGAAATTTGCAATTTTTCTTTAAGTTTGAAATATATAAGGGAGCATTAAAGGTATCTTTATAAGTGGAGATTTTATTTTTAAAATAATTCAAAGCGTTTTTTCTCATTTACTCTTCTTCTGCACTCCTGCACTACTTATAAGTTCTATTCTTTCAGTTTTGCCTACAAATTTGTAATCTTTTCGCTCAACAACTTAACTTTTTCTACAATAACGCTTCGGACACGGCATTTAAGTCAATAGATCAATAAATAATAATCGTATTATACTAAGTAAGCTAAAGCCTTTGTTACAACCAGCTTTCAATATTTTGTTATGATGTGAGGATTGAGCTGTGATTGAGTGAATTAATAAATAATATTTCGCTCAATATTTGATATTTTTATTTAACATTTTTTTTATGATAGCTTGCCACATAACAATTGTTTTTATTTTTGTGCCAAATAGCAAAAGTTATAATTTAAATTTGTTGTCCATTATTCTATTATTTAATTTCTGGAATATTTTGTAAAGCTGTATTGGCAACCTCAAAATCATTTTCTTGTTTTTATATAGTCTCTTCCTGAGATTCTTTATTTTATTTTATTGGATTATTTTATTATTTTATTATTTCATTTTTATTTATTTTCATTCATTTAATAGTTTCTTTTGATGCTCAACTGATGTGTGTAAATTTATCTCTTTTTAATAATAAACCTACTAAAGTACTAAGTAATAATCGTATAATCGTAAATGCATATATTACTATTCAGATAGTTATTAAAGTTTAAAAATATTTATTTTGAAAATAAAATTACAGGAAAGTCATATCTGTTAACGAGTGTTTCTCTTCTTAAATATCTCCATTTTGATATACCTTATTAGTTACTCTACAATTACCTGCAGACAACTCGAAAAGAAAATGTTACTTTAATGTGCCACGCCCATTAAATGGTATTGTGTGTGTGTGTCAAATGGGACACTTGCATACTTTTGGGCCAGGCTAATTGTGGCAGCAGCCAAGGCGCAGGCACGCGCCAAGTGCAACTGTTTGGGGCACTTGAACCATTTTCCATGTGCTCCAAACTTTTGCAATAAAATTTGTTTCAAATTGCCTTTGAACAGAGCGCTGGTCGTCGCTGAATGCGAGTGCGGCGCCGAGGAGAGCTGAAGTGTGTTACAGAAACTGGGTAATTGGTAACGCAAGCTAGATACTCTATATTTGCAAAGTTGTCAACGGGATGTGCCTGTGAACGCGGCCAAAGTGCACCCCGGGGGGCCTTCGGGCCCGGGAAAATAAATATCAAATATATTGAGAGAGCGGTCGCGCAAAAGTTAATTACATTGTGTTAACGGGCCGACTAATTTTGTAATTCTGTTTCTGAATCATTTAACCATGAAATTGGCTGGCCAGCCACGCCCTAAACGTCTAAAACGCCCAATGCCCAACGCCCAATGCCCGTCCAAACGGTTAACGCCCCAGACCTCAGCCAAATGATAGTCCGCAACGCATTAGCCCCGCATTTACAGCTTGGCGGCGGCGTGGCGGTGGGGCCAGCGGTGCCAGTGGTGCCAGCGGTTGGTTCCAGGACGAGTTTACAGCTCAAATGTGAAAATTAGTCTTTCAACTGTTTAGCAGCTTACAGCCTGAGGCCCCTTCAGCACCAACCGACATCCAACCGTTCGCTTGCCCCTTGACAGCTGCCACGAAATTCATATCGAAAGTTTGTGGAGACTGGGGTGAGCATTTTGAATATTTTGATTATACATATTACATATTATTATTTTTAATTCCTGTGGCTTTTACACATAAATTAATGCAATTATATGTGCCACAGGGGCTGGCAATGTGGGCGGGGCCCAGCTGTGTGTGCGCCTGATTAATTTCCAGTGTCTTTTGATGTTAGCAGCTGGCCCCAGCGGCATTGTGGCAAATGGCATTAGCGCGCAAATAAATTTAATTAAATCATTTTCGCTCAACTGTGTTGTTAATAAATTCTCTGTACTTATGTATTTGTGTCTGTATGAGTGGGTGTTTATGTGGCAATGCTAAGCTGGTCATAAATTTGAATGAAATATTGAGAAGTTAAGACTTTAAGATGCCTGCTCTAAGATTTTGGCAGTTATCAATTGGAATTGATGGGAACAAATGAATGCATCTCTGTATAATACATAGATTTTCTCAAGCTTCATTTAATCTTTAGCCAAAAAAAAAAATTACTCTGATCTAAGTTAAGTTTAAAGTCTTTAAAATTCAGCTTTTTATTTAATAAATTATTAAAGTTCTTTCACTACACTAGACACTATTCTATGCAAATATTGGAAATAAATAAATGCAAATATTTGCTTTAAGATTTTTCATAATTATCTCTTAAGTCTTTGACTTTCCTTGCAGTTTGACACTAAGCTTAAAATGACAGAGCAAAAGGATTCTGTTCTGCTTAGCTCGAAGCAGGGTTGGTCAAAAATGTATCTGGCTGCGATACACATTGCGTATGCGTAATAAACAAAACAACTGCAGATACAATGCTAGTCATTTCGATTGTGTGTGTGCCTGTGTGTGTGTTTGTCTCTGCTTTATTTGAATTTACTGCCAAGCAGCCAACACACAGTTCAGCTTTGCTACGCCACTGCCATTCGTATACATGGTGCGAGTCAGTGTCACGCCTCATCCTCAGGCACGCGTACGCCCCACACCACGCCCACCACCATAGTCCCAGGGCAGACATTGTGCCAATGTTTGGCGTTTGCCTCTGTTGAATAATAAATTGTATTTTGCGGCATTTAAAAGCAATTTTTTAACATTTTTCAATCTCAATGGCGACGATGAAATCCCGACACACGCACACATTCATAACGAAACATGCATACAATACATATTTGTGTGTGTGTGTGCGTGTGTGTGATTGTGCTTGTTGCGTATTGCCCATACAGAGATGAAGCCGATTGAGCCGATGGAGTCGCTGCGTGTGGAGCCTGACTGTGTGCTGCAGCAGACACATAACGAGCTGAGTTTCTGCCATTCCGGCCGCCTTGTGCGCCACAGTTTTGTCTAGCAATTTCGCAGTGAATTGTCCTGGGAGCTCAACCGAGCCAGCCAAGGATGTCAAACGGCAGCAGCAGTAGCAGCAGCAACAGCAGCACTTGCAACATTTTTGGAAATGGAGCTGGCGGCGGTACATGATTCTCTGCATTTGGTTAAGCTTGGAGTGAAGACAGCAACGATTCGGCAGCAAAACAAATTGCAGCATTTAAGACCTCTGTCCGCTTGTCACTCCGTCCCCGCTGTCTCTCTCTGTATTTATCATTTGTAGCTGTGCGTGTGCAAGGCCAGAAAATTGCTGAAAATTTTGTGGGTGGCTAGGCAGCTTTGCATAAAGTTTGATTAAGTGTGTAATCTGGGCTTCAGCCACCCACCCACACAGCTCAAATGACGCTGCATTGTTCGCTGTGTACTTAGCCAGCAATTGCTTTAGTCACATAACAGCATCGACCAAAGGACCGAATTGCAATTTATGTAATATTTAGGATTAATCATTTTCAATTTGATAATAAGCAGCTCAAATGCGATATTTGCTAAACTGTTTATTATGAGCGTAATTAGCAGATAGATCGACTGCCGAATTATGGTTGCAAGCTAAATTAAAACAAGTAAGAATGCTCTAGTCGAGAAAGCTTGATTGGGAGTGACCTTAATATTGCAATCCTTCTACGCTCGTTCGCACAATGCACATACTCGGGTAGGCGCTCTACTTACTGCGCTTGGAGTGCAAACTGCAGCATGGGCTTTACGATGGCATTTTTCCAGATGGACTTTCTTGATAAAGATTTCTGAGCACAGTAATGGCATGCAGAGGCTTGTATTACCCAACGCATAAGTCTCTAGTATTTGAAATATGTGTTTTGTGGGTAAGAAGGGGAGCTACTCAAAATATACAAAATCTCAGCATTCATAACTCGCTGAAGTCTCAAACGGACGAACAGGTGGACATGGCTAGATCAACTCCTGATCAACTCATCCTGTTAAAGAATATATACTTTATGGGCTCAGCCACGCCGCCTTCTGCGTCTTACATACATTGTCCCAGTGCCATTATAGCTTGAGTTTCCCTTTGTAAAGGGTTCAGGGTTCATCATTAAATGCATTAAAAATTTGATTTGATCTGCAGTGGTTCTTTAATACTTTAATATATGTATCCAACAGTCTATTCTTAACTTCTAAACAATTTTTGTATATTCTCAATCACAATGTGCCAGCTGGCAAATAGCAAATATTTTACGATAAAGATTGTGAACTAGAATTGGAATTTAATTGAGCACAGCTGCACATTCATTATTGAAATGTTTTCTAGTTGCCATCGTTAATATGACTAGAGTAATCTAATTATATTTAACTCATATACCCCTTTGTCCAGGGCTACACTGACTCTATTGCCATTAGACATTTGCTAGTCAAAATAGTTTTAATATATATTTGAAAGCAACTTCTAATTGCAATTGGAGAAGAGCAACTTAAAAGTTCATTATCTAAGTCACAAAATTTGGCTACAACAGATTCTGACACTTTTATGTTGCCTTGTCATGCGCTTGAGAAATCTATTTTGAATGCTAAATCGCGTTTTAAGCTTTAGTTGCCTGCTGGAAAATAGTGAAATTGTCGGCTGAGTAACCCTTCTTATATATTTGCCAAGTGCGAGGGGAAATGATAAAACTTTTGTAATGAGAAAAGTTAGAAAAGAAAGAAACCGTCGACAGATTTGAGTTCCATCATAAAGGGCGGGGCATGTTAATTCCGACTAAGAAATTCAGAGCAGGCATTGCTTTGTAGCACACAAGTTCAACAGAAAAGTAACGACAGAAGTTGAAATGGATCAGCGTTTGCAGCGACGACGTCGCGCGGCGAAAAAGAAACAAAAGTCTGGGTAGGTAATTGAAGCGCAGCAACTGAACTTAGCTCTGACAGCCAGACACTGTTCTGACAGATTAACCAAGCTGCTGCAGGATCTGTCGCCCAATTTTCGGTTCTCCACCAAATATGCCCACCTGGCCTGCGATCAGTTGGTGTGCCTGCTGTTGCCCTTGGTGGGCTTCTTCAGGGATTCGGCGCGGGTGATCAAGCGCTGCACGAAACCGGACCGGCAAGAGTTTCGACGCTCCGCATTGGCCATCACCGTGGGCTTCCTCATAATGGGCTTTCTCGGCTTTATTATCAAACTGCTTCACATACCAATCACTAATATTATTATGGGCTAACCTGGGGGCCAGATACGCAAAAACAACTGTAGCTTATAACAGACAAAAAATAAAGTTTCAATTCAATTGGCAGCAGACAAAGGCATCGTCTTCGCCTTCGACTTTGAGTTCTGGCGCCTGGCCAACCAGGCTAGGCTCCTTGCCAAAGTCTCACCTCCCCTCGCATGCCGGCTGCAAGGCTGCCATGGCAAAGCCAAGATGCAAGCTGCTATTGTTGTCTCTGACCCCGAGCTAACCCCGTGCAGCGAGTGTTACTTAACTCTCAGCCCATTGCAAGTGTTGACAACAAAATTTCGCCGCGCACTTTTGTGGAAAACAGTTGTCTTTGCCAAACCAGCCAACTGTCGGATGTGTGTAAATGTAATCAAATCAGCAACTCGCCAAGCTCCACACTTGACAGGCTTAAGAGGTTGAGGTAATATGACCATTTTTCATATATCCGACGGTTGCGGCTTTGCCAACTAAGCGTAAGCCCGCAAGGTATTTAACTTATCTTATAATAATAAAATATCTTAATATTATTATTTGCTTAAGACTTTCAGCTTAAGAAAATTTCTTTCGCTTTATACATTTACATTATTTTCATACCTCGCACATTTAGTTGATAAACATTTATCGATAATTCTATTATGCTTTCCAAAGTTTGCTGTTTTCTCATTTTGTAAATTGATAAATTCAATTTATTTCGATGTGTTTCACATTTTCACATCCAAATTTGAATTATAATTGTCAGCTTGTTACGTTTCGCTGAGCTCCACTGAGTTTGTTTGAAATTTTTTAACTAGAATCGAATAAAAATGTTTTTTGTATGAACATTTTGTGTTTGCCTATGTTAAATTTAATTAAATTAGTATTTAGCTAAAGGATATTAGTGTAGCATGCGTTACACAATTTCAAATTTCATAATATTTCGCTTTTTATTTAATCAATTTTTTGTGCTTTAGTTGAGAAAACAAGTTGAATTCCAATTAAATTAAGCAAATATCTATATATAGTATATATCGATATCTATTAGTTTTATTGATGCTATGCTTTTGGGCTAATGCGTAAAGAACTAGGTGGCAAATAGCTGGTTTTTGTGTGGCTTGCTTATCTGTCCAACCAGAGTAGCAGCTGGCCTTAGTCTTTGATGCTTCCATATCCTTTAGCCAGTTGCATGCGCATTGTCGCATGTGTCTCCATTTGCTGCTGTTATGTTTTATTGATGAGTCTCTCAAACCAAAATTGATGATGCCTTGGATGCGACATCATCGTTCTTCATGCTTCCTCCACCCCTCCCTCAGCCTTCTCAGCATATTCGGCCCCTCTTCCTTCGGCTTCCGCGTCGGCGAAATCGATGCGCTGCCAGTCAACAAAGTTAGTTTGTTCCATTTGGTGTTGTTTTTGTTGCTGCTGCTGCTGCTGTTGATGCTATTGCCGCTGGCAAATGGCGCAAATTTATTCAAAACTTTTGCTGTTGCAGCCACAGTTGCACAGACGCCTTATGCTTTAAATCACTTTATGCAACAGGCGACAAAGCAGCTCAAAATATCAACTTAGTAAACGGCGAGCAGCGAGCAGCGTGCAACGAGCAGCGAGCGTGTTGTGCCACAGAAAACCACCTGAGCTGCTGCAAGCTTACACATACACCTACATCTACACACACACTAACACGCACGTCCATATGCTATGCACTAAAAAGTAGCTCCCACTTTCGAGGTTATGAAGTCACTTAAGCAAAGGGAAAACGTGCCTGCCCCACGGGCTTAGAATAAAGGATAAGAAAAATACAAAAAAAAAATAGAAAAAAAAAACAGAAAATGTGGAAACTAAGCAACAGAATAACTGTATAAAAGGAGTCAAAGGGAAAGTCTAAAAGTCAGACCCACACGGCGAAAACCCTTGTCCCCTGCTGCTCGTCTGCTACCTGCACGGCCTGCAATTGAGTTACTTATCTTACACTTTTGTAAGCCTCATACGACGCAGCGCAAAACCAGCTGAGTGCCCCGGTTTGGGTATGCTACAAATTTATTGTACCCTACCACATTATTTTATTGTGAGTGGTTTCACGAGTAATTTGAGAATATTTATAAGAAAAGAAAAGAGTTTGCAAGGCACAAAGAAAGTTGAATTTGTGTAAAATAAATTTCACGCACTTATAAGGTTTTATAATTAATAATTAAGCTTAGATTTTTAAATTTAGTATTTTATTTTTAATAAAGAACTTTTTTTGGTTTTTAAATTTTTGTGATTAATTGTTTAAATAAAATAATTTTTATGATTTATTTCTCACACATTTCTTTTGGTTACGAAATTCAATTCTGGCTAATTCTCTCGCAATATCATCTAAGGCATCAGCTAAAGCTGAAGCTATTTTGATTTTATTTCAATTCTAATTTCATTCAAATTCCAATTTGAATTGTTTCATTGAATCAAGAATTTCTTCTCCAGTTTTTCCTTGTCACTTAATTTCTTGAAGGGCATGGCAAGTTCGTTGTATCAAGAATGGCTCTTGATTTCTGATATTTGAGTTCTTCTTTTGCTGCGTTTTAATTAAAAGTGAAGTGCGGCCATTAATTTGCAACTACAAATTACACTCAATAAAACATGGCTAGTACACTGATTTTTCGGCACACACAATACACACTCAAAACTCGTCAGCATATGTCAGTGTGTGTGTGTGTGTGTATGTATGTGTGTGTGTGTGCCTGGCTGGCAATCAATTTGCACTTTGACTACAATTACTGATTTTCGACACTTCAAAGGATTTTATAAATTGCCATTTGGGCAACCCATCCAAAAAAAAACCCCAACCTAGCTCCATTCAAAACTACGCCCATTGCTGCTGCTGCTCCGACTTTGGCAATTTGTTTTGGCCATTTACTTTGCTAGCTTTTACACATGTGTTTCAGTTCTTGTTGCCTCTGCCTTTCTTTTGTAAGGCCATTCCCTTTTTTTGCTGTTGATTGCGTCTGCCGAGTACAACTTTAATTAAGTCAGTGTGCGACTCCTCTGGCAAGTTAAAAGAGTGCTCGCAGTGAGGCGTGCCACCTAAATTGGCTACACATTTACCACCTTTTTTCGAGAGAGAGCCAAGCTAATAGATCATAGTTCATAGCTTACAGATTATCAATGGCTTGCTTAATTTCGATTGGTGCAAGTTGAAGATTTCTAAAAGAGCAAGTCTAAAATGGACTAAACTTAAATTATTTTTAAGAAATTGTTGATTAGTCAGAGACATTTGCTTGACTTTCAGCTCGATCCAGGGTATTTTCAGGTAGGCCAGCAACGATCGAAAATTGCCATGAAATTAACATTTGTTAAGTATGCCGTCAGTGCCTCCATTCGGTCCATTATGAATTCCGTATCAATCAATCTTGCAGCTTAAATCAATAAAACAGAATCCGTAAACAGCTCTCCATGTCGCATCTAACTAAATTTGCCTTTTGACCGTGGGCAGCTGATAAGCTGGGAGTGCAGTCATATTATATGCGGCACGCCCGCATATTTAATAAAAAACCAATAAACGTTAAAAGCCTTTGAGTGGGCGATGGCCATAAGCTACCTGACGGCCCAGTGGGCAGTCGGTGGCCAACTGAACGCCCGATTAAATGCATTTAAATGTGTTTTCATCATAATTATGCATATGCAAACATGACTCGACCAATTCGCCCAAGCTGGCTGCTTTAATGGCTTATAATTATGTTGCAAGCAATTATTGTCAATGGCACACAGAATGCCGGCCGCCAGGGCGAATGCCAACGCGCGCCAGCACAAATGCAACGAAAAATTATTTAATTAATAAGTAAAAAGCAAATGGATAAATCCACAGCCCGTTTGATGTGTGTTCGAAGGGAGAAAAACAAATTTGGCAACAGTAGCAGTAGCAGCAGCAGAAGCAGTAGCAGTAGCAGCTGCTGTGCTGTTTTGCTTTTGAACATAAAATTCAATCGCTAAATTATGCAAATATGCCGCAACTGCGACAATCTGTGATGGCGACCCAATATGCACAACGTTACGTATACGCAACGCGGCTGTTACTGAGGCCGAGGCCGAGGCCGCGGCCCAGTCCTTTCCACAAACACGGACACGCATGAGCATGTGTGAAGAGTGTGTACTCGAGTATGTATCTGAATGTGTGTGAGCAAAGAGGTCGACGTGGCGCGACGTTGAGTTCATCGATGATGATTTTACTGCAATTCCGTTGCCTAGTTTTTGGAGGCAGCAAAAACAGAAACCAGAGAAGAAAAAATAAAACATCGACAACTGTCAGAGACCAACCAACGTGGTCTATGGTTGCGACCTCTCTGTCTTCTTTTGTATGCCGGCGGCTGCGTCTTTGCCGCCTTTTGCGGTTTTTTCCTCTGTGTGTCTTTGCCACCTTTGCGTGTCGTTTAGTTGCATGGCCATGGATCGGCAACCGGATCAGGTTTGCGGAATGGTTTGCAATTTTATTTCGTCGACGTGACAAACGCAATCAGCGTCAGTCGCATGTGTAAAAATGTGTTCGATTTCATGCGTGTGTGAGTGTATGAATGTGTGGCTCTCTGTGCGTGTGTGTCTGTGTGTGTCTCTGTTTGTGTGTGCTATTTGATGGCATTCAACAGCAGAGAGACAACTAGAGCCAGGAAACTGGAAACGCAGTCAAAAGAAATTTGTATAGCAATATCTATGCTAAAATGTGGAAAGCGAGATTTTCAAAAATAGTTTCAAAGCTCAGTTTTCATTTAAAGCACAAAAATACTTTCACTTTCTGCATGAATCTTTAACCATGATAACATAAAAAACTTTTTGTATCACCTTATCTATTGTAAGTCAGATATATATACACAAAAAATATTTCCTAATTATTTAAATGGAAAAAATATGTTTTTAATGATCCAAAAATTATGTTTAAATTCAAATTTAAATTAAGTTATCATCATAAATTTATTCTGAAATGTTTTCAAAATTTATTATTCTAGTTCTGGACTTCATGTAGAACATGCCAAGGGCCCATTAAATGTAATTAAAGCAATAAATTTTAACAGCTGTAAATATTTTAGAAAATTAGCCCACATAAAAATAAATTAAAGCTTAAACAAATATATTTATTGCTAATATTATAATTGTAAAACAATTGTTAAGATATATAATTGTATTATAATAAAATACCTTCAATGATGTTTACTAGATATCTAGATATGTATTCAATGAAGTTGATAGAAAATGTCGAATAATAAATAAAGTAAAATATTTACTTAAATCATAATCGAAATTATGATTTATATTATTAAAACATAAAACAAAATTAAATTACCACATTCAAAAATATTTAGAAAAAAATTGAAAATATATTTAATTTCTATAAAAAAATCGTTTTCATCTGTATAGGTTTATTTCTATACACAAAAAACAAAACTCGAATAAAAATATATTTTCAATGCAACGTGAAAAGTGCTTCACAATATTCCAGCACTTTGTACTATGAATGCAAGCTGTGCATGTGTAAGTAAGTAAGTATGTAAGTGTGTGTGTGTAAGAATATGGCATTGAATAATCTGCCGTTTGGAATGAAATGTTTGCCAATTGGCATTGAGGGTGTAAGTGCAGAATGAAAATTCTATATTTATTTATTAAATTGTCGACTGCAAATTATGTATGCAATTTAAACGAAATTATTCATGTGCAAAGATTTTTCAAATATTTATGGCCTGTATATGTATCCCAGTGCCAGCATACTTGCGGTCGAATTTCGAAATTTCTGTTTGCTAGTTCACAGAAAAAAATTTTAGGTTTAATTAAATCTATGCAATTGCATGACTATAATTTTCATATTTCATATTACACTCTGTGACAATTTTCTTGTTGGGTCTAACGCCTTCTGAATCACGTTTTTTGTTGTTTCTTGTTTTTTGTTTTATGTATTTTGGCTTTCAGGATTTTTCATAAATGCTGCATGAACCGAACTTCCTGTTTCCGGCGGGCGCATTTTCCCTCTCGTGTCCGTGCTGCTAGTGAGAACAAACGGAAATAAAGATATTTGGGTGGCCAGACTGTAAGTTGAACTTTGATGTTTTGGCAGTGGGGCAGAGGCGGAAGAGGACGAACTTGAGCTTTGAGTGTTTTTGCCAAGAAATGTCAATTTCATGCTTTGAACGATATAAAGAGCAGAGCATTTATTATATTTACAAGCTTTATAGTGTTTTAATTACACAATATGTTAAATAGTTTCTGATTGGAATTGGAATTTCGGAGATTTTAATGTTAATTAATTTAAATTAATTTTATTTTTACAAACAAACCATTCAAAATATGCCATCATAAATGGAATTTCAGCTTGAAAGCTGAACCATCTATTGACCTAGTTTGTTTTAGTTTATTTAACTATATTGAATATAAAACAAATACATTGAATCAATCGTTAGCTGAACCATAATCTCAGGCACTTTGTCAAGTGGCATTCAATTGACATTCTCTCAGCTTCCACCTTTCTTTTGTATCATGACACAGCCAGAGAAGATCGGGCACTCGCTTTATATCTATCGACATTATGCAAATGTTAGCCCAAACATGTATGGATAGTGTAGTCGTGGGTTAACACCTGTCTGCCTGGTTGCCTGGTTGCCTGGCTGCACCTGCTTCAGCTGTCTTTGCTGTTGTCGCTGCCATTGGTACTCAATGTATTTTCCGTGTGGCAAATTCAATTATCCGCGCTTCCATTAACTGTCACCTCAGCACTGCAATTTTTCACACAACTTAAATATTTATAAGGTTTATTAATGCGCATGTGGGTAGCGTCGAGCAGTTGCAGCCAAAAAAGAAAACAATTATAATTATTTATTATGGCAAGAAGTGAGACGGTTTTTGCAAGCCTTCGCTTTGTCTGCTGCATGTGTGTGAAAAAGAGAGTGTATGTGGGTGTGTGCGTGTAACATATGCACACTCATACACACACCAGTTGCAAACGAAAGCGAAACGAAACTGTCGCGGGAATAGCAATAAATCATTTATGCAGCAGCCTTGCACTTACACACACCCTCTCACAACACACACACGCCCAGATACGCACGCACATGTGTACAAAATGGCATAAATCAACTTACACACCCACACCCACACCCACACTAGTGCACACAGAGACGCACACCAAACAGGGACGTGCCCGCAGTCATATGCAGAACTTGCGCGAGTTTCCCAAAGAAAATGCAGCAGAAAAATTGCAAACTTACGCGCTTCGCTTCGTCGCCTCGTCGCCTCGTCATCTGCAGCCAGCGCTGTCTATCCTCCTTCCTCCTGGCGCCACTTACCTTTGCTTTTGAGTGCATGTCAGTGCCTCATGTGTCTCTTGATAAGCACACTCGAAGCTGCAGCATCAGCAACAGCAGCAGCAGCCGAGCTGCAACTGTGGCGTAAGCAAAGGCGCTTGTTCAATTCGGCTGCGAGGACACTGTTCAAAAAGTCTTTTTCTTCTGCTCCCTTTTTTTTGAGACATGCCAAGCACTTTATTGACAGTTACTGAAGTGTGTAGAGCAGCGAATGTTTTTCTGGTTGAATTTAATTTCTCGTTTGTGAAGCAAGCCGTAATTCAATGCAACTTGAATTTGTAGCTACTTACACAATATAATAATATAATTGTATTGAATTTAATTTATTTAATACAATTATGTGAGCTTATGTTAAATTGTACATTAATTAATGCTGTCAAGTAATATAAATATTTTGTATATAAAATTTAATTAGATTTTAGCTAATAGATAAAATTAAAAATTCTTAGAAATTTAATATTAAAAAATAATTTTTAAAAATAATAACAATTATTCAAACAATATATTATTTTAATTAATTTATATAAAAATATTAATAAAAAAATAGAAAATTAATTTTCATATATCGATATATATATATATATATATATATATATATATATATATATATATATATATATATATATATATATATATATATATATATATATATATATATATATATATATATATATATATATATATATATATATATATATAGATATATATTTTTTATATATTATTATATATATATATTTTATATATATATTAAAATATTAAATATTATTAAATTGGTAATATTTTTAATCAAACCAAAATATAGAAGATTATTATTAATCCTTACATTTTTTTTAATGAATTATAATTTCGTTTCTTTATATAAATATTTTAAATACAAATAACATTTTGTATACAAAAGAAAAATTAAATGTATAAAATAGTATCATCTGCTACGAAATGCATTGAAAGTGGTACTCTTATTGTTATATAAAGGGAATTATTTGTATTATGTGAAATTTTTTGCTTATCTATTAATTTAGAGCTGGTTCTATATAAACACCATTGTTAGACTATCGGGTTTCCTAAATATGAATATATATAGATAACAATTAGTTTTTTAATTAAGTTGTTTACTTAAACATATATAAAGTTGTATAACTTTTGTTTTATTTAGTTGAATAAAAGAAGTTGAAATAATTGCGATTGGCAGCAGCAAATGCAAGTATAAAAGCCAATAAAAAGTTTCCATCAATAGTCGACCGTTGTCATCTGAATCAAACAGACTGAAAGCTAAAAAACTGTCGAAAGTATTTCTTTCAGTTAACAAATTAAAGAAGCTGTTATCTAAAATGTTTTATTATATTAAAACTCTAATATTTCTAACATTTCTCCTGGCTTTTGTGCAAGTAAGTAGTTCCAAACATAAAAAGGGATTTTCGCTTTATGATTGTCCTTATAGAGCTTGAGTGTACCCATAGACGTTGAAGACAAATGCCTGGCTGAAAATAACAGTACCAGATTGAGTTTATATGATCAAATAAGTCGAGCAAAAAGTGACGGACACTTGGAAAATATCGAAATGAAATATATGTGTTATGTGCACTGCGCGGCAGCCGAGATGAACATTTTGGACAGTAACGATCAACTGGACATTGAGTTGTTCCAGAAGATTGAGCACTTGCAGGAGGAAAATGTTGCAGTTATCGAGGAGTGCAATCGAGTGATTAGCTTGGTCACAGATAGGTGTATTTATGCCTTTCAAATATTGATATGTTATATCAATAACATTCGGTCAATAAACTATATTAATATTGCGCCGGGCTTTCCGCAGAAGTAAACACCTTAAATTGCCATCGATTGTGTAAATAAATTGATTTTGCTTTATTTTCTATTAATTCACGTAGTTTTTGTGCATTCTAAAGATAATAAATTTAATTGTGGCTGCTTAAAAAAATACTGTCAAATGCTATAAATTAATAAGCTGGCCACATTTGGCTGATTTGCATAATTAAATGAAATTGGTCTGCGTACCATGGGGCGTATGAATCAAATTAATTGCATTGGCGTGCCGATTTAATTGATTTGCGATAACTATATACACATAGTAATCAGCTCTAACTGTGCTAATGTGCATGTATATATATATATATATATATATATATATATATATATATATATATATATATATATATATATATATATATATATATATATATATATATATATATATATATATATATTCAGTTATATTTGTGTCATAAAATAATAATAGATGATTGCTGATAGCAGCCGAAGGCCTTTTTGCATCAAATGTATTACGTTCATTGGTCTTCTGTTGTTGTTGCTGTTGCTGCTGCTGTTGCTGCAGTTGTTGTTTGCCGTGTGCCAGGAAAAAACATTTTGCTTTTCACAATGCAATTCCGTTACAGTTTTACGCTGTTTTTCTTTATGCCAGCAGTGCATGCAACGGAAGTTGTCACGATGCATTGTTGCTGCTGTTGTTGTTATGTGAAAAGAAAAGGCGCACAGCTGCAGCAGCTGCAACACCCACACACTTGACTGGCTCCGGTTTTGCCTCTGGCTGCTATTGTTAGCCCGGCTTTCGATTGTCATTTCAACTTTACGCGCTTTGCATACATGTGTCGTATGAGTAACGCAGCCGCGACTGCCACGTTTCTCGTGCCATGTCAACATGCAAAACAACAACGAGGCGGAAACACATTGTGAATGCTACACGACTTCTCTATGCAGCACCCCCAAAGCACGATGAGGTGTGGCCGATGCCTGTTTCTTTGGTCGTCGCCGCCCGCTGCAACTGGTTACGGGAATGGAGCAATTATTATTTCGTAAATCGACGGAAGTTGTATAAAAACACAACAGCGAAAACTCAACAGCCAGAAGCCATCAAAGAGCAACAAGATGATAATTGGAGCATGCGAGCACCGTGCGGAATATTAAATATATTTATATACAAATCTTTATTTTCAGCAAGCACAGCGGCGAGATATAATCTGCTTAGCTGTGTACAGAAAACTCATTAGATCTAGTGGTTGAGATTCTCCAATAAGCACATTGTGATATTGAAAGCATAATCACAGAAGTCTTCACTTCCGTCGTGGATTTGCTTGCATTGCTCGAAGACATCGCGATCGTTCGGAGTGAGCTTCTCAAATTTCTCTACCAGCTTTACGTCCACATATCCGTTGGCATCCAGAATGTCCATTTCCGTGGCCATGCAGTGCAAATAACACTTGTATTTCTTATCAATGCTGTCCATATCTATATCCGAGCTGTTTTGGCTTATCAATGCTTCATACTCATCTACATCGATGTCGTTGTCCGCCAAACACTTATCGACCATCTCATCCATTTCCTCCTCAGGAATACACTGTGAAATATACATGAGTTAAATATTTGTTGTGTATATAATAATAAATAATTTTCACCTGTACGAAAACAAGTAGAAGGGCAAGCAAAATTGCAGGTAGTGCATTTTTCGTGCTATCAAACATTGTTTTCAATTGGGATTTTATTTCGTTACTGAAACCGAGCGAACTGTAGCTATTTGAATTTCGCAGTGAGTTATATAGCTGTTTATTTAATGCATTTATAATGTTTCATATATTGAAAAAGTTTTCTTATCATGCACGTAATCAACACGCTCTTGTTAGTTATATATATCCATATAGATCATATGTATATAGCGCATCTGCATTTACCAGTTAATTCATGGAATTGTTGCAATCGCATGTATAATTCGGGTTTCAATTGAGCAGTAGTCATTAAAAAATTATCAAAATATAAATAGCAATTGTATATTAAAATAATTTAGAAAATTGCAGTTATGCGCAATATACAATATTGATGAATTAAATAAGCTTTTTCTACTCTAAAATTGTGAAATTTATTACGTTTTTTGCTTAGCAATCAAGATTAGTTCCTCAAAATGGTCAACTTGGTGATCCTCTAAGCTGTGAAAAATATATTAACTTGCTGTTTTAATATGTTAGAGCGACGCTGGCTTAGTCTCTGGCTAAGTCTCTGGCTTAGGCATCATTTATAATAATTAAATATGTTAAAGAGATTTTTTCTATATATAAGAACCTATACGAAAAATCTCGATAGATCATAAAATATAATATTAAAGAAACAAAACAATTATTTAAATGATTTGTAGTTTATTTTAGTATTTAAAGAATTCATGTATAAATATATACATTGCAATATAAAATATATGCAATAGTGACCTTTTATTTGCAACCTTTATTTGAACGCTTTTTTCAATATTTTTAAAAAAATATTTTCTGAAATGATATGTCACTATTTTCTTTTATTTTATGACGAATGAAATGAAGTGTGATGGAAAAAATATAGGATTATGAATATAGGATTATGATTGAATGTAAATGAAGTGTTGAGCTATTAAACAGTTTATTGATAAAATTTTTGATTGCTGAAGCTCAACATTTGCTTTTACAAGATTAACTATGTAACATAATTAATTGAGTCTTACAACAGAGCCTAATCATCCAAATTTTTTATTAAACAAGTCAACATGTTGAAGGCATAGTCGCATGCATCTTCGTCTCCATCGTGCATATTCTTGCACTCCTCGAGGGCATCGCGCACTTTGTCACTTACTTTCTCAAATTCATTCACCAAATCTATATCAACGTATCCATCAGAATCTAAGATGTTTACTTCCGTAGCCAAGCAATGCAAATAGCACTTGTACTTCTGGTCAATGTTATCGCGATCTATTTCAGAGCTATTTTGGTTTATGATTTCCTCAAACTCAGCTCTGTCGATTTTATTGTCAGCCAAGCATTTAGTAACGAATTGCTCAAACTCTTCGTCATTTAGAGCGCTCTGTTAAATGAGTATAATTTGATCAGTCAAACTAAAATTGAGTAATTTTGTATTATTGTTACTTGTACGAGAACAATTAGAAAAGCGAGGAGTATTGCCGGCAATCCAATCTTCGTGCGATTAAACATTATTTTAATTTCGATTTTATTCCGTCACTGAAACTAAGCAGACTGCAGAGCTATGAGTGATCACGGCGGTTATATCGCTGCTAGTCAAAAATACTTTTTATATTGTTTGAATAATTAAAAAAAGCTAGCTTCTATGACTTGTGATTAGCATGCGCATTTCATTTTTATTTTATTTGTATATTTACAGAGTTTTAATCACTTAGCCATAGTATATTTGAGTCATGGAAGTTTTGAACTTGCGTGTTTAATTAGGCGTTGAAATACATAGAAATTTATTAAAAATGATCACAGTTATTATTATGATAATTGCTTAACTCGTATGCCTGCTTCAACAACTTATTAAACTAGTTTTCTGTTGCTTTATTTGCTGTTAACTGCTTTGCGAGGTGAGTTCATTGCCATTCGGTACTTTTATTATATTTGAGCTGTCAATCTCTACGGTTGTAGCAGTATTTGTGATAGTTTGATGTGGCATTTCCTGATCGAAAATTCTCAGACAGTCACAGGTAGGCAGCCTGCAGCTCGACTTAGTTTGACTGCCCAAAAGTTTGTTGATAATTTATAATTTTTTTATTAAAGCTTACACATTCAACTTACATTTCCAAATGCAAGCCTGGCACACAATAATAACATAGGAGAAAAACAACAACAGTTCGAAGAGCACGCGCCAAAAACTCACGTAAATTTCATTTTATACGCAGTGAAATTCGCATAACATTTCCTGTCAACATATTTTGCCACACTTTGCTGCAAAAATGAAGCGACAATGCAGCAGTAGCAGTCAGGCCATTATGCCGCACACTCACTCACACTATCACACACAAGCTCACGGACAAACTCACATACACGTATAGAGCGACAAATTGGTCTGACAGCATCGGATGGGGCATTTCTAACTATGCGACCTCAACACCAACAAACGCACCCCTCTCGCTGCTCTCACCCCTACCCTGCCCCGTGCAGCACTTTCCAGCAAAACGAAACTCGCTACAACAAATGAAAATTCCAAGAATATTCGCATTCGCAGTGAGTTTTGGCTTTTGCGGCTGCCAGTCGCTGTTTACTTGGCTTCCCCGGTTATTTACGGCCTGAAAATTTTTTGCCTTCCTATTTGGTTTCTATATGGCATTTGTTTTTCTTTCTTTTGCTGTTCATTGTTTGGCTGGTTGCCAAAAGGGAAATATGTGTTGTGAAAATTGCACATTTTTATAGCCATCCCTAGGTGCTAAACTATGGGTATCTCTTCACGCCTCTCCCTGCCATGCCCACAGGCACTGGCATTGACACTTCTCCTCCACCCACGACCCTTTTAATTGCGCTAATTTTTTTCAACCTATCAATTTTTGATTTGTAATGAAAATAACAGAATTTCCATACAAAGCATTTTGTCATAATTTGATTATGGATCCTCGTTTTGGCCATGCCGCTGGCTAATTAGGCCTGTGAAGCTGCAACGTGTACGGCTCGTTTGGTTCGATGCATAATTTATTTTCACAGCAATGCCGCAAAATTGGCGGATATTTTGTAGCAGTGTCAACAAAATAGTGAACTGGATTAAGCCGAAACTGGAATGCGCTCTACAATTTTCGTTTATTGATATGTAGAAATTAATATCAGGCTAAATGAAAAGATATTAGAGGGGAACAAGAGGATAGAGACTGAACCCAGAGCAGTTCAACTTCCAATATCAAATACTATAGTAAAAAGTTGAACATTTTCTTAAATATTAAATACAATAAAATTTGGTTGTATTTTGAGCCATTTTAAGTATTGACCCAAAGGAAAGTTTATTGATTCGATTCAAAACATGCTTGAAATAGCCATGAATAATTTTTTGCACGTCAAGTGACAAATAAATAAACTCAATGTGAAATGATTTCATTTAAAAGTAAAACTTAAATTGTAAGAAAAACTAAAATTGAATTAAAATAAAGCTGATTGCTTGCATTTTGAGAATGCATTGAATGCAAAACAAATCAAATGCAAAGTCAAATGCTTCGATTTATTACGACAGTGGCTGCTAGAAGTAAATTGATACTGTTAAGCAAAACTGAAACATATGTTGCCAGTGAGTAAGAACAATTTATATAAAGCCCCCATTGAAAGTTCATCCACATACCTGTTACAATACACACCCAAACACACACGCACACACACGCACACCCACAAGCAGATGCATATTTGCTCCATTGCTTTGCAAAGCTTGAACTCATATTTCATAGATTATAATATCGTGGGGAGTGGGAAAGTTTTGCAGTCAGTTTCTTGAAGGTTAAGCAACACAAACAATGTGGCCTCCTGACATCTCTTGCCATTTATTAAACATGTCAGGCAAGTGGGAGGCGGGTGCTGTAACCGTAGCTGGGGCTTTTCAAGCAGCTTGTCGCTTGGGCGCCACCTATGCGATTTTCCACTCTATGCAGCACTAAGAAAAAATGAAGAGCAGGAAGAAGAAGAAGAGACTTGCGCTATGCACAGAATAAAAGTAATGTGTAAAACTTTGGATGCTTTGCGTAATAAAAATAAATAGCACGCGAGTTAGGCATGCATGGCACGTATTTTGCATGCACTTTGATGCCACACCCACAGCCGCACAACAAAACGCCCACAAAATATGCATACATTGTTGGCACGTGCATGCATACAAAGGAATTTCAAAGGACATTTCGGGACATGTGTAAGGGCTGCAGAGAGAGAGAAACAGACAGAGAGAGAGGGAGAGAGAGCGAGAGACTCTGAGTGAGAGTTTGCTTAGCAATGGCTGCAATGCAGCCAGCCTTAAAGTCAGCCAGACAGGGAAACTGAGACTAATTAATTGCCAAAATGCCGATTGTCGAGCAGCCAGACACTCGGAATTGTATCTGAACAATGGATTCTCGAGTCACTTAGCAGCTTGCATGGACCAATTAGTGTAGTGTCGGCTGCCGGCAACACAATGCCAAGCGATCAGATGCCAAGTGCGTTAAAATACTTAGCTGTGCGAGCAACATTTGTTGTTCATCAAAATAAGCAGTTGGTAACGCAGCAGCTCTGCATTTCCATAACGGCGTGAGGCTGGCGCAGAAGGACGCTTTTGCTTTGAGTCCGAAGTAATTGCAAAATTTTTAATTAAATGTCAAGTGTTGGTCGCTTCTTTAAGCGCTCATAACTGCCAATGGGCACGCGGCTGTGCTTTAAGTTCTGGGCGTGGGCAAATGGTCAGCACTTCAGTGGGCTCTGAGCTGACAGCTAGCTGACCAGCTCACCAGCTGACCAGCTGAGTTGCTTGGGGCCAAGCCGGGACAGCACTGGCCGGTAGCGGGTGCAAGACCCGAGCTAAGAGCCATGTCCGGTACGGACTTTGGTCATTTTTAACTTTCTGTGCGATTTGTACGCCTGGCTGCATTTTGTGACAATTTTTCGCTTAGTTTTAAAACTTCTAATAAGGGTATCTTGGCAGCATCGCTTTGTATATATATCAATAGATTTAATTCTAATTTAAATATAGTTAAATATTTAATTTAATTTTTAATAGAATTTATTAATATAATTAATACAGAGTTCTTTTAAATTTCTAGTTTATTTTTTAATTGTGTGCATATTTTTTACTTAATGAAAAACTATTATATTGATATTGTTGTATTTTATAAAAGTTTTGACAAGCTGAACAAGAGCATACCCGCTTCTCTCTTCTTTAGTTAACTTCTTCTATGCGCTCTATTATATTTCGGCTTGCAGCTATAAGGCTTAAATTTTCAGCTAAGCGCTCGTGAGTGAAGTGTTTTAGTTTTGTTTGCCTTTAAGTACCCTATATTGTTTGAAATGCTCAAGTGGGGTATATGGAAGCTGTGAGCTGTTCATGCAAGTAAAAAATGCCGATCAAGCAGAGCTTTTAAGTATTGATATATGGCTAAGTTAATCTTTGTTCTCAATGGCTAACTTAGGTAAATAAAGAAATCTTTGTTCTTATAGGGTTTTAACTATAGCTTATCAATAAAGTATAAAGTATATTTTATTATGGTATTACTACTTAGAGAACTTTAGATATATCTATTTTCCCTAGATTTATGAGTATTTCTGTATTCTTATGTAAGTCAGCATGAATTTTTCCGATATCGATTGAGACAAAAGTCTGAGTATGCAGGACCTCAGATGCATACAATAGAATATATATAAAATATATTACCATCAAATCCAATATATTATTATCAAGTCAAATTGGCCATGTAGCGTATCTCTTAGTCTGGCACTCTTTTTAAGGTCCATTGCTAGTGCCTTTTATTTTTGGTCGGCGACCGGGCCGTTAACTAAAAATAAACCGAGTGTTAAACGTGGCTTACACGTTGGTCATTTTTATTGCCAGCGTGCGCCGTCAGCCGTGAATAATCGCATTAGTTGCGAAATTAAAAATTACAAAATAGAATAGATAAATCCACCCACGGCTGGGCGAAGCTAAGCCTTTTGTTGCCAAACGGAACAACTATTAACTAGCCTAGCCAGTTTAGGCACACGGCTACGCATAATTTATATTAAAAAAGTCCGTCCATGTGGAGGTGTCCAGTAGTTTGCTAAATGTAAAGATTTACTGCTAATTGAATTACTAAGAAGGGATTCTATACGGTGCTCAAATTTGTTAAGCTCCTTCCCAAGCCTAATGTCCTGGAAGCCAACTAGCTGAAGGGTGCGAGGCCAAAAGGTGTGGCAGCTGCTCCAAGTTGATGGGATTCATCTGAAATTGAGCTGATATCATATCCCCATCCAAATTTTTTACTCACGGATACTTAAACCGGTCAGCCGACCCATCAACTTAAAGCTCGTCTTATAAATTGTGCCCAGGTTGAAGAGGGCTTAGCTGGAATTTAGGTGAGCGCACGAATGATTTATCGATCAACTGATAAGTTTATAGCTTTCCAACAGATTATTGCTATTTGTTAAGAAATTCATATCTAAACTTAAATCCCTCCCTAGCATGGCCTCATTGTTTGTTTCTATTAAATTATAACTGATTTCAGAAAGTGCATGCTCAACTGTATTAGAAGCGAATGGCTTGGACGT